GAATATCCGCGTAAACACGCTCCTTCAACTCTTGTATGTAGGCTAGCTTCTTCCCGTCAAGTATTTGGCTAGACCTAAAACGATCTTCGTCCCCTTCTCAAGCAGAATTGGTGATTTCCGATGAAGATTACGAAATACATCTATAGATGATCGTCAGTGAGTTTTGTTACTACGATCGCGTTCACTCCAGCGTTGAAAATTAACAGGAATTTGCAGAAATATATATTTTGCTTTCTCTGACGAACTGACTGTAGTTTGTTTTGCAAGTTGTTATTTTTAGCCTCTTTTATGCATCAGGTGATTTACTTTGCGCCACTTTGTTGCATGACGTGTGAACCTTGATTACGAAGTGCAAAGATATTTTCACGAAAATCAATTATTTACTCTTTTAGTTAGTTCCTTAGGTTTCTATGAAAATATAAAGCACAGCGGTCCGATGCTCTAACGTGAAATGCAACATGTGTCGGGGATTAGAGATTATACCGTACGACTTGACTATGCAACGCGAGACTCAAAAAAATATCTAATTGTTTTATCGAAGCAATAAAATTTGATATTTTGAATATCAAACGAAACGCACGTTAACCACATCAGACATGAGGTTCTGAACTATAAGACTAGTGTAGAGGGGGGCACGCACGTCAAATAAACCAAGCATTACTTAGCTTCTGGATTGTATTTCCTCAACACTATTAATCTGAGTCAATTAACGATTCGCAAGCGGGACTTTAAATTGTGCCTTCTATTCGAGCGAGCTTACAAACTAACTTATTTAACGAAGTAAGTCACCCGAATTATATAACCCCACAATAATCATATAATAATAGTGCAGAACTCTAAAGCAAATTGCCCGAGAGTCGTTTGTTGGTTCCTGCAGTGATCAATCGTGCATGAGATCTCATCGAAAATTTACGACTTTTTTTTTTTTTTTTTTAGCTGGTGCATTTCCTTTTTGAATTCAGTCATCCGTATATTGTATGATCTTTATTATTTCATTCGCTCGTTGACGACATGATATACCTACTAAAAGTGACTTTTATGCTCGCTCGGCAACTTTGCTTGGCCCAATAAAATACTGGGTGTCTTCCTCCCGAGAGAATTCCAGAGCAAATGGGCGCGCACACGCTGCGGAACTCTTTAGACCCATCGGAATCGCATTGGAAAGGACCCCGTGCATTATTGGCGCAAAACCACCGGCACACGACGTTCGGGGCCCATTCAATGGCCTCAAGTCAGCCTGGTAGCCTGACTTATTTAGCTACGCGAAATCCCGTCTCCCACACATCCCTGGGCCTCGCCAGGCTTTTTTTTTTTGCCAACGATTGCCGAAGGGGCGTAGGGGAAACATTGTTTGCAGGACGGATATCTAAGCAAAGCGGAACAAATACGCCGAACGCACTAAAAATGCAAGCGCGGGAAAATGCGACTCCATCTCAGTTTTGGATTTCGAACGCTATCTTTTTATCTCTGACTGTCTTTCTCTTCGGGATAGAAATCGGCGCCGTATTATTGAAAATGGAGCATTACAACATGAATGATGCGACAGCATCACGGTACATAATTTCGAATGTTTTCGTGTCTTGTAATGCAAAATTCGGTTAGAACTGGGTCTAGGGAATGACGCATGCCTGGATTGTAGATGGCACGACGATTTTTTATTTAAACAAAAAGGTATCTCAGTTATGTTTATTTACTTGGGACACGCGTTTTTCCTGAAATGTGACGCACTTCGTTTATCTCCTGGCGTATCGTGGTGCCTAAATATATTAGCAGAGCGGCCAACACTCTTCCGCGTGAGGTTTTGGCGTTGTTCCCTTTCTAAGTAAAGACATTGCTGGAAAACAAATATTTTGGCTCCAAGGGGGTTCTTGAAAACGTGCCTTCTTTAGAATACGTCCTGCAACAATACGGGTACTGGAACCTGTCTCCTGAATATCAAAACGCGAGTACGAGCTATAAAGACGCATAAATACAAACGTGGTAAACGCGAATTACCAGTCAACTCTGTGAACATGCAGATTGGTCGCGTTGACAGGGTGGGCAAGCAGGTACAGTCATTGGTTGGGACGAAAAAAAAATAATGTGGATGCATCAGGCAAATTGAAGCACAAGTTGCGCAAACAAAAGACAAGCTTCTGCATCTTTGGATGGGGATATCCGATATGCATATTTAGGGCGCAGACACACCACAATAACAGGCACCATCTATAAAATATGGTTCTCTTTTAGATTGATTTTACAATCTCTTTAGCATGACGAACAATTGAGAAAAAAAAAACATTGTGTTTTTATACATTTCTATTGCTGCGCACGATAGGTTTAAAGAAACCTCTTATTTTAATAAGAATCAAACCGAAACTGACCGATTATACAGTCGAGAACTGACATGGCCATGTTCACGAAAGTCGGGTCGATTAAAGGCTGCTACAGTCGCCTTGGAATCACTTTCTTTTTTTCTTTTTTCTTCTCTCGTGTATGGCGCCGCGTATAATGAGTGACTGCTGAACGTCGTTTGTCACGCACGGCTTAGCTGACGAAGACAAAATAGCGGCGGTGTAGGAACAGATCGTTCGGGGGTCCGCCTAACGGGCTTCGCCGAACAGCGGCCAAGGACGAAGACAGGGCACCCAGGTGTCTAATGACGGCACAACTCCATCACCTTTGGTGCATCGCACAATCAGTCACCCGGATGGCGTTCTCGCTTCGATATCCGTTAGAGGCGTCCCCTACGGATATCTCCGGTACAGAGATACAAGACTCAAGCGAACACGCATGTTTTGTGGTAGGTTGTTTTGTCTCGTTCCTTTCACATCTGTTCACCTTAAAGGAATACTACAACGAGATTTCGGCGCTTATTTTTTGGTCTATATGTGTTCAGAGGAGCAGCATCACATCGGACACACCAATCTCTAGTGGAAAGGACACGAAAAGGAATTTTAAAACGAATTAAACGATTAGCAACGAGCACCTGGTGGATGTCGCTAACGCCTCGTTTGTAATGGCCGTCTAGGAACCTTGACAGGTAGTGACGGTAAATGTAGCGCCTCCGGCCACCACGAGAGAAGAGGGGAAGGAGGAACTCCCCTCTCCCCGACTCCCCGAGAATTTCTTTTGTGTGACCCAGAAGTCGCTGTTGCCCCTTTACAAGATCAGCGGCGTAGACTTTCCATTTTCCCGGGGGGGGGGGGGGGGGGGGGGGGGGGCGGGGGGCGGGGGCGGGGCGTTATCTTTTTGTTAGAACTGGAGATTGAAGCTAACGAAAGCACGCTGCGATTCCATCTCCCATGTATTTTGTCAATGAAGGCAACGTGGGCGTTATTTTGTTGACATGCCACTACTATAGAAGCTCGTAACATGGCACGTAAACAGCGTCTCGGTAAAGGCCTGTTCACACTCTTGCGACCTCTTAAACCTAGGTTCCTTAAAACTTCTTAAACCAGAGAACACACTGGCGCCATCTATTGGGAAGCAGTGTAAACTCGGCGGTCCGGCATATTTTGTTTTATTTCTCGCGCATTATCCTTTCTTTCTTGGCTCGAAAAACTTTTGTCAATGTTATAAACGAGCCTTTCTATGGTTATTACGCACATTTGACCTCGGAAATCCCGCAAAACCTTCGCTCTTGTGAAATGCAGTTCCAGGGTCACCGCATAGATGGCGCCACAATACCAGTGTGTTCCCTCATTCTAAAAACATTTAAGAAGTTTTAAGAGATCCTCGTCTCTCTCAGTCGTACTCGGTCGTACTCGGTCGTACTCGGTCGCAAGAGTGTGAACGGGCCTTAAAGCTGATGGCCCGGGCCCCCTCTGCCTCTCCCCTCCGGATCTCACCAAGGGAGGGGGGGGGGGGGGGCACGAGCCCCGATGCCCCCCCCCCCCCCTCCCCCGAAGTCTACGCCTATGTACAATATTATAAAAGATTAACCCGTCACTCAAAATTTGTACAAAAGCAGCCGCTTCGGTGGCTAGAACCACTAGCCCTTCCTCTCGACGTCAGCCTCGCCGTAGCTTTGCTCCTCCCGAGACGACCTACGTCAAGATTGCGTTGGATGTCACGTGGTCTCCGCTGGGCCTTCTTCAAGCGCTTGGCAGAGTGGGCCGTTTATAACGAAAAATACAGCCACCGGACTCAAAATGCAAACGTGCGATTGTCGTTTACGGATAATGTGGATCATATTCAACCTATTTTTGAACACGACGGGTATATTTCGAATTTCGTTGAAGTATCCCTTTAAAAAGAAAAAAACAAGATTAATAATTGAATTATCCAGAACAGAAAAAGATCAGCTGCAACGAGCAGGACTGAACAATAATAGACTCTCAGAAGTCCTGAGTGCGTACTGCTCCACAATGCACTTGGAACACCAACCATTCATTGGCGGGATTTCGATTAGCCTAGCCAACGAGAAGGGTGACGCCACTGGTATCGTGCTCCAATGGTCATGCAGTTTCAGTGGGAAAGGCTCACTTTAGAATTCATCGTTCAGGCCAGTGTCTTTGTATACAATACGCTCGTCTATAGTCAAAACTCGAAAGTTGCATGCAGCGTTGTGTGAAGCACAGCGCCATCGTGTGGCTTTAAACAGTGCTTATTTTTGTGCAAACTCTAGCGCCACAACTTCATTTCAGGTCGAATGTGCGCCTTTGAAGGAAATAGAAAAAGTAATAAAAAAAAATCTAGCATACAAAAAAAAAATAAAGCTTGCATCAATAAAGAAGCTTTACTGTTAATTTTAAGCGAGGCGAACTTCCCGTCGTCTGGAGCTCCATCAACGAATGACAACAAAGGACAAGAAAGCAACAGAAATCGTACGGACGGCGGCGGAGACAATAGCAAAGGAAGGAAAAAGGCAGGAGAGCGGCAGAAGGCGACGTTTCGAGCGAACATCTGTCTCATAGCGACTACACTCGAAGAAGAGCATCCGCTCGAAACCTTTTCTCCAACCGCCGATTTTGCGCGTAGAGCAACTGTGAAATTGACGGAAGGCCAGAGGGACTTGCCTTTGTCGAGGAGGGCCTCGGCGGACGACAGTGTGCAAGCGCTGAGTCGGAAGGGTCGGCTGCGGCCCTTGGCGTTGGCAGCGAACACCCGGGCCTCGAACTCGGTGCCCGGCCAAAGTTGACCGACGCGAAACCGGGGCTCCGGTCCACTCACGTTCAACAGCAGCACCTGTACCGAGGCATGCAGCAAGTTGGCAAGCCGGAGTCGTCGCCATCGAAATCGCTTCACGGGGGAAAAAAATGCGCCAGCGCGAAACGATTTTGCCGCCGTATAGTTTGCCGCAGTTCTACTACCACCCACGCATCTCCCATTCTGCGTCGCCGCGTCGCCCCCCCCCCCCCCCCCCCCCCCCTTCCTCTTCCGGCGCTGTTGCGGCGCTTTATCGTCCGAAAGATGATACGGGCAACGTTCGTGCGACACACTTCACATACGCATCTGCAGGGAAGGAATAGCGCTCGCGGAGTGATTGCTCGCAACCATTTTTGTAGCAGTTGAATTTGCGTAACACGGAGAGGTGATACAGAATCGTATATCCTTTCGTACACTTCGGCGAAAGGGAACGGCATTCATATTGCGAGCCCCGGGGCATCATTTCTCTGCAGTTGCAACTCCTTCGCTTTGCCATCTGAGCTGGGCGTTTCGACGAGACGTTTATAAACTTTACGTTGAAATCACAATGCCGGTTCCATTCACCGCGGACAAAAATGAGCTCACCACCTGAACAGTTTTGGCACGCCATGAACGGCTTGGTTCCATAAGGAATCTCCCCTATCGACGGCGCTACTCTTTGAGATCCCCCAGTCCCAAATACTGCAGTGGTCGATTTTCTCCGCCCCCCACCGGAGGCGGGACACGAATCGGGCACGAGTGCTGCGTTCGGCTGAAACTCGTGTCCTTACTTATCCAGCACGAGACAGAAACATGATGAACACCATGATGGTGCGCTTTTAAAAAGGCACGATTGGTACCATCGGCTCGGAGTGCTGGCTGCGTCTAGACTTAAAGGGACACGGAAATGAAATTTTTTGTATTTTTCTAAAAGAACACGGCATATTAAAAAAAAAAAAAAGAAATACCGCGAGATATAATTTTTTTTAGCGATCTTTACGCCGCTAGACGCAATTTAGGTGCAAAATGTGGTGGTCACAGCCCCATTAGCACCGCCCCGTGCTTATATAAGGTGCTTACTTCTCTCATTGGCTGGAGAGATGATTGAAGTGTGAAAGGCTGGTTGTAAATTTGTATCTCCGTGCCGTAATAGTACCCTAATCGACTTTTTTTATATTTGAGATACAAATAATCTAGATAGAGTCATTATCGTTTTCAAAAATATCGTGAGATTGCCTTTCCGCTTCAGTCAAACGTTAACAAACATGGCTGCCGGTGTCTGCGGAGCGCTGAACGAGCGTAGGTCGCTGAGCTCGTCAATTTTGATAGGTGCGGGTGGTTTTGAGTTTACAGAGGTGTTTAGAGGAAGATCTCATCAACCGACACAGTTTGCAGCAAAGAACTGTCGAAAGTACGCGGCTTCGAAAACGCTGTCCGGATGTTTGTTTTCGAAGTGGGACTAGCCTAAGCTATTCACTATTTTAATCTATCAGGCTTGTTTTTTTTTTGTTTTTTTTTTTTTTTTTTTTTGCGCGTGTTGATGTAGAATAAATATGTTGGTTCCCGTAGAAGCAACCCCCCGCTGCTCTTTGGATTGTGAAACCGTCGTGATTTCGACCGTGGTTTCAATACCGAGAAGATACCTACACAGTTATGAATTTGAGATTCATTTGGCTGTAGGTAATCGGGCGTTCGGCTTGCGTCAAGTATGTCCAGGAAAAAAAAATACCAAGAACATAAAAGCTGAAATGACAGGCACATTTATTTTGTTGCTTCTTTTTTTTAGTTCTCTCGGTCGCTTTTTACCGCACATCAACAGACGCTGACAGACACTTTTATTGGACAGTCGCTCGCGCATGATGGAAAGCTAGAACGCCGCTTTTATGGTCGAATCTTGCACGCGTTCTAAAACTTGTTTAGCGCAGGCTGAATAGCAGACGGAGGAAGGCGAAAAGGGACGCCGACGGACAGCGTTCATGTCCGCGTCCTCCCGGCATGGCAGACGACGATAGATTGTGGAGGAATAGCAGACGATGCCGGAGGCTGCCGCGTTTCTGCTCGCGCAACTAGCAGGCGTTCTGAGACGACAGACTAGACACGCCGGATGTCACGAAAGGGAGACACTAGGCTTTGATGATAATGCAATTAATGCAAAGGTGCAAGCGAGCTCGACAAGAATGACGATAATAATCCCTGTAGAAGGGGGACAAGGGGGACAAAGGACAACCCCAAAACTTTTGTGTTTATCCTTTGTCCTTCTTTTTCCCATTCTCCAGGGATTGTTATCATGACACTATGCTCGTTAGCGTGTTTGGTCTAGCAGTCATGCCAATCCAGTAGTAATGGGTGGGGCAACTGATTTGTGGGCGGGGCTTAGAGTGGGCCGTGACCGCCACCTAAATTGCGTCTAACGGCGTAAATATTGCGTGATGTTTTTTTTTTTGTTTTTTTTCTCTCGCGCACAAATTTCAAAAACAAAATGTCCCCCTCACTGCAGTGTCCCTTTAAGGTGAAACGAAGTATAAGTCCAGCCATCGGGGACAACTTACTGTGGCAATGCGGACGAAAGTGCGTTTGTCAGCGCCGAATAAAGCCCCTGGGCTCTCGCACTCCTCCACTCTTCGAAAATGCCGCAGAAAGATGCCCCTGAGTACTGGCGAGAAGATGGAACTAGGAGAGAGGGAACTTTATCTAGGTTTCTCGCCACTCAGCTTGGTGTTCACTGTTCACCCGAAGGAAGGCACTGCCTTCTTTACGTCATCGACCTCGATCGAGCGCGGAGGACAGACGACACGAGTGCTTTGTCAGCTTTCGGCTGAAACTCGTATTCAATCGGTGCTTGATTCACTGGACGCGAAGCCAAGAACTCATTGAACATTCTGCTACGTCAGAAGCGAGTCCAGTATGTTGCCCATACTGGCGAAGTGAACCGCTCGGGGCGTTCAATTTCCCCGCCCAATAGCGAAGCGGGCTCACCTGATGCTGCGAGGCCGACACTCCGCGCATGGGCGAGCTCTCTTCGGGCGGTCCGTACACCTCGAGCAGGTAGACCAGAGGCTCCTGACCGCGACTCCAGAGCGAGGGACGTTGGGCCGCGGCCACTGCGGACCCGGGAACCGCCGTGGCGACGGAGACGCCGCCGGCTGACGGCCGCTCCTCGCGACATTCCACCCAGAATCCGCGCTCGGTCAGGTTGCTCACGCTGCAGTTCTCGAGGGGCTCCGGTGGCCCTGCTTTGCACGAGAACAGAAGGCCATCACCCGGTTGGCTGCCTGCCTTCATTCCGGGAACCGGCCAAAACATTCGAGAGTTTGACGCTCGGGATCCTTCGAGCAGCTTGGAGCTTCGCACTGCGCAAGCGTGGAAGTTCTGCGTACGCGCAATGCGACGCCACAAGCTACTCAAGTTAGCCGATGAATCGGGGGCCCCCTATTTTCAAACTGCCTATTGACTGCTCAAGTCACGTGTCGCGTGTGTATTTGGATGCGATATTGCACGACTCGGGAGCTTCTGGAGCGATTACATTGCGGCAGCCTTTGCGAGCACTTTTAACTACCGAAATTGCGTTCAACAATTTTTAAGTGGCAAAGACTTCTTGTTTAATATGTGAAAATTAATGAAGACGTTCAAACAGACCTGACTGAACCGGCTACTTGCTACCAATTGTAAGAAAAAGAGGTTTTAAAATTAGTTTCTTTTTAAACTTCCGATTAGCCCAGATACCACCAAAAGCAAAACTCAGGGGTTTCGTAACTGCGTGGAGTTTTGAGAAGCTAGATATGTCTTTCCCTATTTTAAAGTAAGTGGCATGCTTTATGCGTGCGCCATCTATTCAATTCTTGCAAGCTTAGGATCGACAAGGGATGGTTAGAGGCCACGCTAGGCCCTAACCAGATGCCTGTAAGTCAACGTTTGAGCATGAGGCAAAAGCAACCACCAAATGTAAATTCCCGTTTCTCGTTCAAATCTTGACAAGGATACGGCACAATACATCGCTCAGAAAAGCGTTTACCCGCGGATATCTCGTTCGCTCCACGTTGTTTTTCTTCAGGCGATAAAAGAAAGTGTTTCGAAACATCGCTTAAATCGGCAATTTCGTTCTGCATGGCGACTGCCTCTGTATAGACCATAAAGATGAGTTGGCTGGAATAGAATGGCGACTATAGCTCGGTATACAACACCCGGCAGCTATTACACCGGCTCCTGCTGCAGTCAAGTGCGGCCATTTGTTCGCCGTTTCGGCGTCTCTGAACGGTATACGCGAAAGCCGTTTGAGGGACCCGGACCACGGGGCGCAACCTTCGACGACCTGCTTCTAGAGGTCGTCGAGAGCTGGACCCGGGGCATGATTTGTTGTAGAACGCGGGACCGATCGCGCCCCAAGCCGTCGTATCTTGACAAGCGTGTTCGAAGCTTGCACGTGGCCAGAGTGGCATGGGCTTAAAGCCACAGACAAAACAACAAGAATTCACAGAGCCGCAGGAAAAAGAAAAAAAAAGAAAAAGAAAAGGGGGTGCTAATTTTAACAAGAAACGATATGAATGGAACTGTCCGATGGGGACACGCATAATTGTTGAGTACAACAAATAACGCCAGGCAACAGAACGTGCCTTCAACCGCTAAGCAAAAACATGAATGCTTGGTTCACTAGCTGGTCACTGCCCCTGGCGACCGTTATGCGTATTCGGTTTGAAATTCTTTCTAGAACAATAAAGAAAAGCAGGGTCCCTAGACACATCTATGTGTTCAAAAGCAACCCAGCTGTTTGCACGTAGTGCAGTACAAGACTGCTAAAACCGCGAGCTTTTTTTCTCCTTTTCTTAATTCTAGAATTCTTCTTGTCTTGGAGACAGAGGACGTGAAGGGGGGAACGCTTACAAGGGAGCTAAAACAGCGCAAACGACGAGGGATGAGAAGCACAAGGAGCCATGCACAACGCAGCTTCACGTCCCTCGTTGTTTGCGCTGTTTTAACATTTTAAAGATGAAACACCAACTAGCCCAAGCTTCAACCTTATCAGGGAGCCACGAGCCGCACTTTTGACCCGCGAATGGGCCAACTCTGCTCTGAAGGCTGACGTGCAAAATGGCTCGGTTCCTTTCCTTCCTTCCTTTCGTTCCAGCGCTCTCCCTTCCTTCTCTTCCATAAATGTAACATGTCTGTGAGTTACGCTGCGGACAGATAGAAGGAAAAGGAATACCGCTATTTTATCACTGCCTGACAATGGGGAATATAATGGTCCTCTTAATCCTCGTGAGATTAGGACTTTTTGACGTAATTGTCACGTTCCGGTGGAGACTTGGCTAATATTCGCGGGCTTTTATTTTCTTCCTAGCTTACTACACAACGACAGAAACTTGCACGTATTTAGTCCTCAGAACGAGACGGAGGGTGCTGTGAGTCTAAACCGTCATCTTATCTTTTAGCAAGCAATACCATTGCGGCATTAACCCATAAGAATGCACTGTCCGTCACTGGGGATATCAGAACTGCCTTGTGTGTAGGGACATTGAACGAGTGCGAAACGCCACACACATTGTTCCGGCGCACATCGTTTTTTTTTTTTTTTTTTTATTGTATTACGAATTTCAAATTCACTTAAAGTCTTTATTTGTAGAGTCTCTGCCTCCGTGCTCCGCCGATAGGGTTAACTTACGCACCATTTTCAAGTACGTGTGTTGGCAGCCTTTCAGACGAACAAGAAAAAGGGGGACAGGAATTGGCGATTAAATGTGCGAAAGTTCCGAGTCCGCTCTCTCCGTAACATCGCACGAAATGAAAAAAAAAAATTGCGGCACATTGAGGAAATTATAAACGTTCTTCTGATTGTGCGCAACATGTCGAACCTTAGTTCGAACGCACACATAAAAGTGCCCACACGCAATGAGAAAGAAACGCTCTCCAATTAATGGCCCTCAAACTAAATCTCGATGTGCCCTTCCTGTTTCGCTCTTTGAAAGAAGCACAGAAAACAAATGCAATGGAGAAAACCCTAAGCCTGCTGGTTCAAACATTCCCCCGTGTTCCTTTTTTCCCGGCGCCCGCACGTCACTGCTCCGCTGGATACACAGCCCGGCGGACGTGGGATGGAAACACAGCAGCATCGCCTCAGACGGATCCGTCGGACAGGGAACATTCGCGCTTTTCTCGCGGACTGTCTACGGAACAAATCGTTCCCAACGAAGTTCGTTAACGATGTGTGTTCCTTAACTAATTAGCCCGGCAAAGACGAGGCACCGCAAATAAAGTCGGTCGTCCCCGACTTGGGTCGTACTCGGCGACTCCGCTCGAGGCCGTCCGCTTCAGCGTGCGACGGCACGAGGCGCCGCGGCTGTCGATTGGCTCGGCGCTTCCTTGGCGAGAAACGCGGCAGTAGGCGCGTTTCAGGCAGCCAGTGAACCCGTGAAAAGCTGTTACGGCGGCGACAGGTTCGCAGACCAAAACCTCGGGAAAGAAAGGCGGGGACACGCACCGCGACGCGAATGCCGATGCTCCGGCACGCCCGAGCAGGCAGCCACACTTCGTTAAATTGCTTTTGGCCGAGGCTGAGAGAAAAGCGCCGGCGGTAAGATTCTTTTCCGGGTGGGCCCCGGGTGACGACAGCGCTCACCGGAAAGCCTCGCAGGCCCCTAATCACGAAGGACTTGCAGAATCGCGTTTGTGCGCGCCTCTCGCTCCTTTCGTCGCTGTTGCTTGCCCTTGCTCTTTGGGAAAAGCCGATTACATCTTTCGGCTTACAAAGACAGTGTTGATGGCCTGTGGCGCGCGCGCGTTCCGCCATGCCTGAACTCGCGAGGCTTCAAAACGCGGCGTGCGTCGGGGTTCTGCTCCTCCTTGCGCCCGTGCTCGTTCGGAAAGCGAAGCAAAACGCGCGAGAATTTTTGTGCCTGCACACTTACCGTTTTTCTTTTTTTTTTGTAGATGGATGCAGTCTCGAAGGGTGCAATCATCCTGGAACGCGAGCGAACGTAATCCTCTTCGCTTACGCGTAGCGCCGGTTCAGATTTGACCGAACACGAAAGCCAGAATAAAAAAAAGAAAGAAAGAAAGAAGATATATATTTATATAAAAGTTGTCGTCTATTTCTGTAGCGAGATGTTTTAAAATAATTATTTGTTGTTGTGTTTTGTTTGCCCTCAGAGTTACAGGTACAGCTCTATCTTAAAACGCAAAAAGAAAAAAAAAAAAAAAAAGAAAGAAACCGACGGTGAGAGTAGTGTCAATTCAACCCAATGTGCACCGAACTACGGTATTATCTACCGTAGTTCGCGCACATTTTCTGAAACATAAAAGCATGGCGCGTGTTCCACGAGTAAATCTGCGCGCGGGCCCTGGCGTCCATAATTATGCCTCGGACGATGCTCCGTCGTTCCTTGCGGTCCGCGCGCGTCGCCTCAATTCCGAAGATTCCCGAAGATTAAAGGCGGTGTCCGGGTCCGCCGTGCTAATTTTCAGCTTTCCCAATTAATACTCCGAAAAAATAGGGCCACATCTGGCGCACGTACGACGTACGGGACCTCCCCCCTCTTTCTGGCACATTCTTAAAACCCGACTGAGAAGAACTAAACAAGTGCGGCCCGTCTCCGCGAGGAAAACCGCTGAGGCGCACGACCCCAGTCGGAGTTCCCCCTTCAATCCCCGAATGCCGAGTAGAGCAGGAAACAACAGGGACCCGTCCATGCGTGGCCAGCAATCGAAGTTGGGCCCCAATTACAAGGAGTACAATGGGCCGTCAATTAGCCGAGCGTTAGGGCTGCTTCCGGCCGAGGGGAAGGGAGGAGCGAGGGGAGAGAAAGGCGGCCCCAGGTTCGCCGGCGTCGGAACGCGGCCCGATGTCAGATCGCAGCGCCTCGGAAGTGGCGGCCGCGGCTCCCGGACTTGAAACAAGCGACAGCGCTCGGGGGGGGGGGGGGGAGGCTTAAGCCCCTGGCACGCTGCTCCGGCCTTCCCGCACTCCCCTTTTCCGCGCGGGCATCGGACAGCCGTCGACCAGAGCGCATGCGCGTTAAGATGGATGACCGAGCACGCCGAGATCGGGGGGGTCGCCGTGTGGCCCGAACGCTTTGTGTAGAACGCCGCTGCCAGAGGGATGGAGCGAAACAAAGCGCAACCGGAAAGCTTATGCTAATACAGGGCCCTGTCGCCGAGTCTAATGTAGAATGGGGAATGGCGGGGCACGGTGCGAGAGAGGGAACACCGGCCAGTAATCTCGTACGGACAGTTACCTAGATAGCGAGCGAGCGAGTACGTGAGCCGGACCGTGGTTAGCCGAAGAAAAACGAAACGGGAAAAGAAAGACGATTGACCGGAACTTGCATTGTTGCCGGGTTTATTCTGAGGCTTGGCGGATATCTCGCAGTTTGCCGAAAATTTAAAAGACGCCAGCAAATTCATATAATAAGAAAAAAAAAAAAACGCGACGGAAGGTTTTAAAACATGAAGGAAACTAAAAAAAAAAAGAGCAATGGTAATGAGTTACCAACGTAGAGCTTTACTTTATCATGTTACCCGATTATTCACCCGTTTTAGAAAATTATCGCGTGGACCTGAAATAAAAACGCTTTATATGGAACTAGGTTTGTCCGAAAGGATCGTTACGTGCACGAGGTTTGACCCTAGAGATGCGTGGTACAAATTCTTTGTCGTCTTACGCTTCTCGCAATGACTTTCGCAGTTTTGGGGACATTGCTCTGTCCCACGACTTCCTCAGAGATTACAAAAAAGAACGCCCGATTACTTGACAGTAAGGTAATATACAGAAGACTAAGAAAATAATAAAAAAAAAATAGAAAGAAAAAATATTTCCGCAGGCTTCTATTTCGTCGCGTGGCTGAAATAAAATTAAACCGGACGTGGGTATGCGTGCTTAACAAAAATATATATATATATATAAAAAACATCGTCATAATGGCGAAGACGTCTCAGTCGTGATTAAGTTATAACATGATTATTTCTACCGTTGCCGACCGCGACATGCCTTGCGACACATCCTGTCAACCGAATACCCATTGTCGGCGCTCACAAATCGTGACAGGCAAGTATTGCACGCTCTTGCAATTAGGTTAGCTGCTAATGACGGAGGAAAGCTCTCGGAGCATACGCACATTGGCAGTGTGCGAGGCAACATTTGCCCCCCTCCCCGGTGGATAACGGACATACATCTGAAGGAGGGTACGCGTCAGATAATATTCATTCCCGCAATATCCTGCACGACCCTCCTGCCTTGCACTTTTCGCTGCGTCGAGTGGCAAAATTGCCGACTGCCTAAAAGCAACGGCTGGCATTCATGATAGTCTCGATATTACCGGGAAGCCTAGACAGCATTACATGACAAGAATAAGCAGGAACAAACCTCTTAGCGACGAACAGCGTCATAATCGCACTCTAAGAAATGCCCGCGCGTCTACTTACCTGCAAAACACTCAAAGAGTCACTCATTGCGATCTAGGAAATCAGCTCAGCGAATGATCAGGCGGAACATCCGTTTAGGACCTCAAAATGAAGTGTGCGCTGTGGAATTGCGTAATGCGATAGCGCAGACTTCATTTTAAGGTGCAAACGGATGTCCGTGATGTGATTGGTCCGAGTCATTTTGGAGCAGCTCTTGGAGCAGCCAAAAGTAAATTTTAGAGCAGCAAAAATAACTTTTGTAGCACCATTCTTATTCATACCAAACACTGCGAAGATTAATGTGTCAACACGTCCAACTAAAAGGCAATGTCTACATTGCCTTCTACTGACGTGCAACCCTTAGTTCGTATCAATTGGACAGCAGGAGTGAGTCCCTCAAACACAAAACTAGCGTTTAGTTGCGTGGAAAAGCAGCAGACACGGTGAGAAGGTGAGTGAAGAAGGACAGCACAAACTGCTGGGAATGGTTATTTTAGATACTGAATCTCACTGGAATAACACAATAATATAGAGCCCAAAAATAAATGGTTCCTTCGAGTTCTAATGGTTGTAACAAAACAACAATTTATAATTCAGATAAAAAAAAAAAACACTTGTCCGTTGATTATGAAGGTCAATTATATTTTGTATGTAGAACTTCATAACAAAAACGGTATGTAAACAAAACTTAAAAAACAATCCCGCCGAACTCACTAAGGTTGTTCCGGAGCTTCAATTCACTGCTCCTGCCAACTTAGTTCTAATTCACTCACATCTATATAGAAGTGATAGCTAAACAAATTAGTCGGCATAAATAAATAAATAAACATACGAAAGAGCGCATATAAATGTTCTTGCACTACCGGAGTATCCTCGTCATTTCTCGATTTGGAAAAAGGTACTACCAGGATATCGTAGTCTATCATACATACGAGACAAAGGTATATTCAGGAATTGTGTCGCGTCTCGCTTTGGAGGAGTGCTTTCCCCTTAGCACGGTGGTGCGCTGCGGCGAAGCAAGACACGCAAAATATCAATGCTTACATTGCGGTTTTCGCTTCTCTGCAGTACACCAGTGCGCGAGGAGAAGCGCACTGAACCAGACTAACTAATCCTTCAGCGGAACAGACGACGAACATGAGAATTATTGCGAAACTTACGAGCACCGTCAGCCTTTCATACGAAGTGCGATCGAATAGTACTTTATTTCAGACGATAGCCAAAAGTTCTGACGATTCGCATAAGCATATCGTAACGGCCCGGCCAAGCAGCGAGGCCTGAGCTATAATATTTTCACTATCATTAAAGTGCAACGTTGCACCAAAACTAAGTTTGGCGCAACGTTGGCGCAAATTTCTCACATTTTGGTAAAATGTAGCTAGGATGTAGGGCAGGGTAAGCACTTTGGCGCAGTTTGGCGCACATGGCGCAGCAATCAGATCACTGAGCTGTTCCGCTACATCATTCGCTGAGCTCATTTCGTAGATCGCAATGATTGGCTCTTTGAGTGTTTTGCGAGTAAGTAGACGCGCAGGCATTTCTTAGAGTGCAGGAACCAGATAACGTTCTCAAATGAGCACTAATACAATTTCTGACTTGTTTCTATAGGCCTAACGTGACTAGCGTTACTTCAGAAGGTAAAAAAAAAAAATTAGTTATATGCCTACACCCCCCCCCCTTCCCCCCCCCCCCCCCCCCCTCGGAATAAAGCGCGCGATTCAAAATTGGTTATTGAACACGGCGGAGATTAGGGAAAGAGGGGGAGCAGGAAGGTATTAAAGTCGACTCTGAAACTAATGTTTCCCTCCCAGTTACTTCCGTTCTCCCAGTCTCGGGTTTTGTTATCGTGTAAAATAGCTAGCTTGTCGCGCTAACGCAGTAGTCTACGACCACATAGTTTAGAGGAATGAGGTATATGCCACGAATGTATAGACCTTTTTTTCTGTTTACAAACATGAACCGCTGCTTGCGTACCAAACCTCCGGTCGCTCCGTCTTTGGAAGCCTGTCGAGCTTGCTTATGTCGCCAGTGCTAGGAGGCAGAAATGCTACACGGGAAACTAAGTTGGAGATTTAGCGAGGGCCTTCGACTCTGCGATCTAACGTCTTGGAGGAGACAAGATGGTTTACAAGGATATTCGAAAAAATTGAACAGATCTGGCGCTTCTTGGATCTTTTGGCGTTCACCTGGAGAATTGGTGGTTATATGTTTCATTATCGTTTCAAGCAGCGTTGTTAACGTGGGCTTTATTCATTCCTTTTATGAACCGCAAGTTTACTGGATTGCCGCAGACTGGAGCATCGCCTGGTGGCGTGAGTTAAGAAAAGGGTCCATACAGCATAAAACATTACTCATACACCTCTTTTATTTATTTCATTTGTTTATTTGTAGGTTTATTTTAAAATAACCTGAGAGACGTCAAGACCATCGTCATGCGACGTCTACACAATAAACGCAGTTACCAGATACGCATATATGATTGCATAACGTACGCCGATGGAGACACGTTGCCAAAGTTCCCAGCTTCTTTTCTCCTCCATTGTAGTGAGCCTTCTACCTCTTTCACCCATTCCCAAACCGAAACCAACTCGCCCCCAACTTGAGGAGTCACCAAACGCTCCATGATTTTATTGCATCTCTTAGAATTTCATACTACTAGTAAACGGGTTCCCCTTTAAAGCAAACAATATGAACAGATCATTTCTTAACAATGAAGTTGCGACTTTCCATTGACTTAAGAATAATACAATACAATGTATTTGATCTTCGTAAAGAATCTTCGGTACTTTCTGTGAAATAACATAAAAATTTCTAAAAAAGCTTTTCTTTTTTCTCACTACTTTCCTAGAAAGTACGAAGAAGCCTGCTTACATTCTAAGGACACATGCGATATAGCATATAATATCAGAGCACAAATCGCGCGAGTAGTCGATCCACAACGGTTTTATTGGATACAAAAATGCGGTATTGACATTTCTGAAGACGGCAAATATCACGGCACTTTCTGCGATCCTTGTAATGACAACCAAAGAGAGGGGCAGCAAAAAGAGAGGCTCGCCCACTCACCGGCCTGCACGATGTGAAAGGTGCACGGGTCCTTCTGCACGCCCATGGCGTTCTCGGCGGCGCACAGCAGCGTGCCGAAGTCGCTCTGGAACTGGGGCGTGTACTCGAGCACCGAAGTGGCGGTCGGCATGGCCTCGTCGTCGTCCTCGGCGCCGCCCTCCGAGCCCCTGGCCAGGACCACGAACTCCGTGAGCTCCACCTTGCGGTTGCTGCTGCTGAAGAGCCAGCGGAAGGTGACGCCGCCGGGCGCCGCGGCCACCCGGCACGTCAGGCGCACGGGCTCGTGGCGCGACGCCGAGAACACCACCGGAACGCCGTCGATGCAGGCCGGAGCGTCTGTCCACGGAGCCAGGCGCGCTTCATTAGGACGTGCAAAGCGCCCACACAAACGTATAGGTAATTGGGGTGAATTGCGGCAGGAAAAGTGCTTGCGCGCATATACTCTCCCGCAGATCACACGGAGTGCATTTGTGCACCTGGAACGTCTTTTGAACCTCGTCATTCGCTGGATGCGCTCCCTGTATGTACGTCGAATGCGATTGGCCCGTCGCGTAATCTGAGAAAAGGTGGGCGTGCAGGCATATTTACAGTGCATGTTACATTGAAATAACCACCTGTGTAACTGTGTGCTATGTGTCTAACTGTGGATATGTAAATACCAAGTTGCCTAAATGAAAGGTAACGTGATATTTATACATATCCGCGGTCAGACACACAAGAAAATATATCGAGTCCCTCTTGTAAACCGACCTCACCAGTCTGTGTCTTTACGACACCGCTGGTGTCGAGCATCGAAGGAACTCTATATACTTTCTACACGCGTGACAACTCCCCTGCGGATCTGCGCGTGGAGAGACGAGACGGCATGTGATCCGTCCCGTACACTGCTGCCTGCGTCCTGTGAAATGAAGTTATGGAGGCTTCCTCCGTGCCTGGAACAGTCAGTCTGAAAATATCTAGAAACCATGACTGCGTAGATATTGTTTGTTTGTCCGCTGCTGTGTCCAAATTTTGAGCTATTGGATATATAGGTTATTCTGAAAAGCATTCAGATTACTTACGTTTTCAAGGATTTGGGTTCACTCGTATGCAAAAAGGAGCAGCCGACGCTGCTAAAAAGGCAGTCAATGTCTCTCTCTCTCTCTTTCTTCAATCTAAGAAGGACTTTTTAAAGCGGGCTGAGTGAAAGCGACAATTTCGGGATGTCACGTAACCGCCAGAAACACTATCTAATCGTCGCGTTCGTTCCCCTGGAGCGAATTTTTTTTTTTTTTTTTAATTTGCAATATTTTACGCATTGTCCCGACCCTCTAGAGAGAGGACTCGGCGGAGGACGGCATCAACAGCACAAGTACAAGCTCCTAGATGTCTCACTCTATGTAGTCGGCCTCAAGTCCCACGGCTGGGTTTAGCGGGTATATGCAAAGCGCAACCTCTTGCATTTGCATCAGCGTAATCCGGATCGTTCCTCATTCTCATAAAAGTCTTATTCACTGACGTATACACGCGGACAAGTGACTGCCTCGGTACAATTACTGCGCTTCATGAGGCTTATTAGGTCGATTCTTTTCCTTCATCGCGCTCAGTATCCGAGTCTACAACACTGGGTTTCTCTCCTTCCGCATGCACTAATGGCCAGAGACGCTCCATTAGTGCGCTTGCGTTATTGCAACGACGAGCGCGAGCGAACCCAGCGTCCGTTTTCTGTCGAGGTGTTCAGCTCTCCGCGTTTTCTTGTCTGTTTGCGTGGCTGCACGCTGTTCCCAGTTTCCCCAGTTGTCGCGCGTCGAGTGTATCACAAAGAAAGACAAAGAAGAAAACAAAATACAGACGAAGCGGTGGGCGTATCCTTTAAAGTGAACACGACCGAGCAGCATTGTACTTTTTTTTTTTTTTTTGTTTGCTCGTTTGTCCGGATGCTGTCGAGAGACCATACATCGAGCACAAAGCGCGGGTAATAAATGCGAGCGCAGCCAGAGCGGAATAGTGACAAAACGATGTCCGGTCTCGGAGCCCGACGACGCTGCCGCAACGCTAATGGAGTGTAGGAGTAACTCTAATGAGCGGAAACCTTTTTTTTCCGCAATGGTTGTACGTCGCTCAAACACGCGGTGCGAGAATATAAATGGCAGGATTATGCGCATTCGCCCGGCAATCTCGCAGATCTGCTTTAATAAAGAAACGCATTTAATTTTGTCCGTCTAAATAAGGCACTAGTGGGGCGAAACACTCCAAACGCACGGGAGTAAGCGTCATATTTTCTTTCGGGTAAGTCCATTAGTGAATGAAGTTTTATAAGATAAATACGCGCGGAATGATAGATTGTTCCATTTCAAGCGAGAAGTTTAATTGTGTTCAAGTTGTTCTCCAGCAAACATTAAAACAATACGCATTTCTAAAAGTTGACTGAAACAAAACAGAAACGAGACAAAACACAAGATAGTGTGGCATACAATAGTTGTTTATATAATATGTCGATTAAAAGAAATCACAAACGCGGTGGAAAAAATAAAAAAAGGCGGTGAACGGAAGAAACATTTGTTTCACACTAGACACATCCAGAAATGGGGAAAACCTTTTTGTTTTACGTTAACGTAATTACGTTTTTGCCCATATAACTCCGTTTCTTAATAATGCGGGCGAACACCTCACCCGTTGTTTCAGCGCAACCTGACGATAAGTTTAATTTTCGGAAGAATACAATCGTGAGTCATATGCCGAAGCAAACTCGAAGACACGTGGTAAGGCTAGCTGACCAGAAGAATATGCATATCCATGTACAGTTACTAAAAAGAGGAGACCAGGAAACATTTGAGAGAAAGTACAAAACATGTTACATAAAAATTCTCCCGATCTAAAATTGTAGCCGAAAAAAAAAAAGAAAAGAAAACAATCCTTGTTGTAATCGTGTGATCGAAAAAAAAAAGTTGTTTATAAAATACACCCACGTCTGATTGATGTGCGCAGCGAGAGCCTAGAGTTGGACCTCATATGAGACCAGTCTTGTACACGTTCCACGAAAAAGAGTAAATCATTGCAATTACAATTACCACTCGTTAAAAAAGTATTCAATTAGATTACTCGATTACTTGCATGGAAAAGTAGTTGGCCGTCACCTACTCATCGTTGGAAATCACCGAGCTATCGACTACTCATCTTCTTGATACCGCACAAGTCTGGATGAGGCTGACCTGCAAACCAGGGACTTGGAAGAAACTCGTGTCTAATCATTTGTTTTGTGATGCTTGAGAAGCGGTCTTTTTTTTTTTTTTTTTGTCACAGCGGCAGTGATCTGCTAAGAACACGCTCCCATGCAATGCGGCAACTGGGCGCTAAAGGCGAAACTGGCGTTCGCGTTCAATTTGATCGAGGGTGACCACCCAGAGAACCGCTTTGTGCGCATATATATATACGTTTTTGTATTCAGAAGGGTGTCGTGAGAATCGCCTTCGTGCGCTTTTATATATATATATATATATATATATATATATATATATACGTTAAGAAGGGTGTCGTGAGAAACAAATTGGTACAACGAATATCGTCGGCTGGGCCTCGCCTAAACAATTTGCTTCACACTCGTCAGGCTTATAAAAAGGTAAAAAAAAAAGGATAACGTTCTGGATTTAAACAGCTCGAGAAAAATAACGCTATTTCCGGACGGTAAAAAAGTCTTCGCGATTTCTATATAGTACAGACTTTTGACAGTACTCATCGCGAGTAATTAATTTACTCGTAATCGATTCCTTTTTGAAGTAATTTTGTAATCGTTGGATACATTTCTTAGGAAGTAACCGCAAAAGTTGGAAGTACTAAAAATTACTCGAAACAGTTACTATTTTTTGCTCCCTTTACTAATGACTTTTTTTTTTTGTAGAAGTTTACTACCAAGCAAATCTTCGTACCAAGAATCCGACGGGAGAATGGCTTACCAAAATTGGTGGATTAAGAAGATGGGTAGTTTATAGTTCGGTGATTCTAATTTAATATTGGACGGCAGAAAATGTCCGTTTTCAATCCGGCTGAAAATGTTGTCGTTTTGAAAATCCGAAGCAATCGGAAAAGTAACGCTTACTCTCTCAAGTAACGGTTAATCACTCTCTTCCGAAGTAATCGAGCAATCTAATCGAATACTTTCGTACCGAGAGTAATTGTAATTATAATCAATTACTTTTTTGAGTAGCGTGTACGAGACTGCTATAGTGTTATGAGCTTATCCCCTCGTCCGCTTACGCTATAGACATGCATCCTTTATACTAGAAACCGAGGTTTCGCAATATTTGGGATCTATCTCACACGCTCCCTTCTTCTTGCGCTACTATTTTTACGAGTGTATCTATTATTCTACGCATTCAATCGATGGAAGCTGCTGGATCGATGCGACAAAATTATAGCGTGCATGCTGCTATTACATATTCGCCTTCGATGTTATGATAAGAGGTGGCGAAATTATAAGGACGAAGGCATCAACCACGGACACGCAGCTTTTTTTGTTGTTTTTTTCCACTCATATTGACGTTAGAAAAATTGCGACACACCGCCATAATTCGCTGGTTTCATACACACACACACACGCGCGATCTTCTGTATAGTACGTCGGCACATACTAGGACATAGTCACCTCGTAGGAAACCCGAGTCTGAAAAACCCATGCGTCGAGACACAGACCTTGTGACCGAAAGGTTTTGCACTTTTATCAAGCGAAAAAATAAATAAATAAAAAGCTTCAGGTTTATAATGAATATATTGAAGTGTGCTTTGCACATTTGAAATATACTTTAATACACGTTTAGTGAACATTTTCTTTAGTGGCACGCTGCGTGCATATGTGAACTCTGATCCTGCTTTGGACCCAAGCTGGTGAGTATGTGCATGTAGTGAACGCACTAAAAGTCTATTTTTAATATAGTAATCACAATGAGCGCTATCTGTCATTTAACTATACTTCTCGAAATGCTTTTCTTTTTTCTACATAACAGTAGGGGAGACGCTCTTACGTTGGACCTTGAGTCGGATGGAGTTGCTCATGGCGGAGCCTTCGGAGTTGGTGGCGGTGCACGCGTACTGCCCCGAGAAAGTCCTGCGTGCCTTCTGCAGCGCCAGGAAGCGTCCGGAAACGATGACGTCGGCCAGTGCGGAGCCGTTGCTCGTCCTGGTGGCGAAGTCTACGACGCCGTCCTTGGACCAGTGCACCTCGCTGGCGGCCGGGTTGGCGTTCACGGCGCACTCGAAGTACACGTCGTTGCCTTCGTGGATGCGGCCGTCCCGGAAGGGGGAGCCCAGCTTCAGCGTCACTTCCGGTTTGTCTGCAAGACACCAAGGCATTTGGTTTAGAGTGCGGCAGAGCTGCTGTGAGCTGAGTTGGCAGGAAATTTGTTCACACCAGCGTCGAATGGCGCAAATCAGCGAGAGAAAATGACGGCCTTTGGAGAGAATGGCGAAATAAGGTCGCGAATAATTTGGACCGCTACTAAATGTCTCCTTTAACTCTTTCAACCGTTTCCTGTCTTTCCATCTTTTAGACAGGCAACGACTCGCCTCTCAATAGATACCCACAGCTCTCTCCGCTATACTTCTTTTATGTCCACTGCATTACTAAAAAGAAAAAAAATAATGTAGATTTATTAGAAATTCAAATACAAAAAAAAAACAATTACCAGTCAGCGCACAAAAAAAAAACGCAAATTAAAAAAAAAAACTGCATTGTGCTTTTTTTTTCGTATCGAAAAAAAAGCCAAGGTCACTAATCTCTTTTGCCCATTGTATTTTTTTTATTATCATATCGATTATCTATTTTTTTAGTATATACCTTCGTATGCAAAAATCTATAGCGCCTGAAATACAGTACCACAGACAAGCCATCCAAAGTCTCCTGAGCACCTATATCTCCGGACGCCACTTCTCCGACAGCCATTTAAAACATCTTCGAAGCAAAACTAAAAAAAGAAAAAAAAAAAAAAAGGATTCTCACCACAAAGCTTTGGTCCTCGACCTCAAACCATGAACAGTCTCCCCGAAGGATTAAACGCGTGCCCGCGATCTTAACGCGCTCTATGGTTCGTCTTGAAAAGCAAAGCCAAAAACACGTATGTCGGGCTTTTACAGGCGAAACCAAGAAGTTAAACGGAAGGACCAAACCAGAAAACAAAACGGGCGCGTCAAAAACAACCTTCGCAGAGATGGCGGCGCGCCTTATCCGTGTCTAATGGGCGCTCGTCATGTGTCCGCTGTTCCCTTCCGCGCTATTTACTCCGATGCTTGTTCCGTCCCCGTTCTATCCTTTATCCCAGAACCCATTTTCGGGGAGCCCAGCCCACGCAGCACCCCATAAAGAGGCTAGGTGTCGAGAAAACGAGGGGGCGACAGGTCATAGCCACTTTTTCTTCCCCTGCCGACGTTTTTTTTTTCTTCTTTTTTTTTACTTCGTTCGCTTGCAGTATACCTCTCCAGTCCCGAATGTATACCGCAAATCATGAGCGCACACCGTCATGCACACGCGCTACCGTGTTATGCGCAGTCGTTCTGCGCATCTTATCGTCAGTGTATCTCATAGTTGCTGCGTATATATTATTGCGTTCTGTACAATAAACCTTCTACATGATGATTGAAACCTGAGACTGCTGTTTGAAAAACGGAAAACTCTTGAAAGAGGAAGAAAAAGGGACAGACAACGTCTCAGACCTTGTTTATCCCTTTTTTAAGACGTTGTATGTCCCTTTTTCGTCCTCTTTCGAAAGTTTTCGTTTTTTCAAACTACAGTCTCTGGTTTCAATCATCATGTAGAACTTACACCAGCTCGCCTGTACATTAACCCTTTTTTTTTTCTTCAGTAAACGTTCATTCGTGGACACAACCGTTATACACCAAAGACATTGCCTCCATTGAAATCGTCCTTCCTATCGGGGATACCCGTATCGCTACCTAAGTGTCCGACGCATAACAATCCCGTTAAACGTATGGCATACAAGCTCGCAAAAAAAAAAAAAAAAAAGAAGCGATGCGAGCGTTATCAAGCGGCGAGGGTTGCAGACATTTTTTTCCCTCTGGAAGTTAACATGTTACTGCCACACGCTTTCAAAGGGCTCCTCCCCCCCCCCCCCCCCCCCTCCCCCCGTTTTAGCTGTACTCCGCTCCACTTTCCCGGTCGTATTTCAAAGGGCGCAATCCAGACATTGGCCACTGGATGCCGCCTTTTTGATATTTGGATCTGTTGAAAGACGACCTATAGAATTTTGATTTTCAATGTTTGACCTCAGAAGAAAGTTTAAAATTTCTGAACCACCGTTGGTTCCTTAGACGGCACCTGTCGCAATTAGTTTGTTAAATCACCGGAACCTCCCATATTTAAGCGGCAACATCAAGTATTTCCCAGCTCTGCAGTTTATTTTCCAACGAACCGAAAAGCTCAGCCCCTCATCTTGCATGCGGGTTGCAAAGGGTGATGCAAAGTTCGCTGATACACTGGATATTGCATAACACTGTGTTATCTCCCGTTTGCGTAATTATTTGACAGCATTGTTTCTTTCTTACAAAGACAGTCTTGTTTTGAAATAATACTTATGAAAGTTCAAAAATAAAAGGAGCGTTGTGTGCTTCCCTCTTACTGCTGCAATTCTGGCAAAAACATCCACGTTACTTTTTTTTTTTTTAATTTTAAACGACTATAAATGTTTTAATATCACTGGGACGCTCGAAAGTTTGTTTCAGGCACTGTGAATGTCAAGCTACAAAACATAGCGCCTTAAAATTCCAAGCGTATAAAACTATGTGTCGCGAACGTGTAAAAATATACGAAGCACCAATTAGTAACGAAAATGCAGCGAGCCTCTGGCGACCTGGTGGATATTGATTATGGTTAAAATTACACGATACTGTGGTAAAAAATGAAAAACTAAGTAGAAGAAAAAGTACACAGGTGTACTTTTTCTTTTTCTCAGTTTCCCATCTTTTACCACAGTCTCGGGTAATTTTAAGCATGACCTTAATAACGTCAGACTGGCAGCCGATATTCGCGAAATCTTACAGCTAAACGAATTGCTATAAAAAGCGCGATATAAAAAAAAAATAAATATAAAACGTTTGCCCAGAAGGTTTTTGAAAATAAACCACACAGCGAGCCAAGCCACCAAAACTAGTCCCTTCGTGCAAGAGTGTCTGGAAACAGTGAGAAGTTCATCCCTGCACGAGAGTAGGAGTACTGATTAATAATTTCTCCCACCCCTACAAAATCTTCGCTATTAGATGTAGTATCAATGCATAAACTTCGTCTTCGTATAACTTTCATAGTCTCCCCACAACCGAAACCACCTCAATTAGAATAGACAGGTTCTCTTCAGCAGTCGTTTAAACAGATGAGAAGATCGGTGCAAATCAAGAGCATTTAGTCAATCGCCTTTCCTAAAAAAAGAAAAAAAAAATGTTTTTATAAGTTACAAATTATGACAATGCCCCAGCGTTCTGACGTAGAAAAACAATTCGCCCATACAAATAACACCGGTCAGCCGCTTTTTCGATTTTGTTGCGATCCATACGGTCTTTACCCGCTGCGTCATCAACGATCGCGGCCGACGCAAACTCGGAAACAGTGCTGCGACATGAGAGAGAATACGTAAAATATTAGTTCGACGATCAGTAGGATTCATCCGATGAAAATACGTTAGCATTGCCATCTGGAAGTTCGAAAGTGCACCCCCCCCCCCCTTCCCCCCGGGTCGCCACCACGTTTTACGCAAAAGTGACTATTCGTCACGTGACCTCTAAAGAGCCGTGACGTCATCGGTAAGATGACAGCTCCCAGAGCTGGTAGATGCGTATTTGTTCGGTGCGCGGTGGACGTGATGTGCCCCTGTTTGCCGACGCTTTCGGGCTTCTTCGTGCTCTCTGACGCGGGTACAACGTGAAGATCTGAAGGAATTCGATTTTATACGCTTTTTGCGCAAGATCGCTCTGGATATTAGCACCTGTGAGACAGCATTAGTCGTGTCGCCGTAGCGGTGCTCGGATTCCCGGATATGTTTGAGGATCGAAAGAACTTTTAGCATGAAATTTTCGCATTCTTCTAGCTTTGTTTGAACGTTGGGATGTCTGAATATCCAAGTATATGTATATGTCGCGTATAGGACCTAGGGGAAGTTGTTTCAGCCCTAGGCCATCGCATAAACACAGCAACTTTTAGCTTTAGTGAGGAAGCTGCTGCGTTCTTTACCTGTTGAACTAATAAACGACGATATAACCTTTAGCATACCATTTTGGCATTCTTCTAGCTTCGTTTGAACGTTGCAATGTCTGAGAATCGAAGCGAAAGATATACGTCGCCTGTAAGGGCCTCTGGGTCACCGCATAATCACAGCACCGTTTAGCCAGGAAGCTCCTGCGATCTTTAACCTTTTTGTACTAATCGACGATTTTACGAATCGTGATTTCTTAAGATTTAGATAGAACGAGTTTTCATTGCTGTAGCTTGCCTTCGAACGCAGTATTTTCTTCTCTTTTTTTTTTTTTAAGTGAAAAGCTGGCGCTTGCTCTAGTGGCGTGCACGTGAACTCTTACAAATGATTTTTTTTATATAATAATAATAATTTTAATAACTTTACCGTTCATTTTATAATACAAAAAATCGGGTCTATCAAAGCGTAGAGGCTTGTACGATTTGGCCCGGCAGCCGGGAATAGTTATGCTATACAACGCTGCCATTTGCGTTGAGCAACAAAAATATATCAATGACAAGTTCACTCACTTTGGAAATATACATAACAAAATACTTTGTTTTCTTATTATCAGAACCAAACAGTTGACTTTCAAATTATCGCGTCCACAAAAAAAACGGCAACGCTCTCTTTTTATCAGAAAGAAAAAAATAAAATAAAACAGCTTTTAACGTAAGCACTTAGAAGAAAACAGTTCTGCCTCTCAATACAACATCTTTCGACTACACAGATGAGATGAAGTCAATTTATAAACGAGAACCAATTCAATATTCTATTAACGTCGCTTTGGAATATTGCCACCGCAACTTTATATTTCTTTTATGCGGAAGAATTAATGTCGTATCATATGCATACTGAAATGGCGTTGACTGAAATTTTAGGTTTTCCAAGTCGGTTACGAAAATATTAAATAGCAAGGGGGCCAATGAAAACCCTTGCGGTATTCAATAATTTATATGTACTTCCTTGCTCATATTCAGTTTTATTTTAACACATTGTGTTCTATTTGAAAATAATTAAAAAAAAAACTAAAAGAATGGTTCTCTAATGCCCAACATGTATAACTTCTCAGGTATTTTGGAATGATCTATTCTGTCAAA